GACAGCAGGAGCAGGTGAGATGCAGAGAGAGAGGGAGACACAGAATCCAAAGTAGACTCCAGGCTCTGAGCTGTCAGCACAGAGCTCGACGCGGGGCTCGAACTCACTAACCGTGAGATCATGACCTGAGCGGAAGTCAGACGCTTAACTGACTGAGCCACTCAGATGCCCCAGAGATATAATTGAACAACAAGAAGAAAAGAACTATCTCTGTTTACAGATGACATCTTATCATACCTGTTAAGCCCTAGGAATCAATACTAAACTACCTCAAACAAACAAACAAACAAAATAATTCAGTAAGGTAGGAAGATATGAAGTTAATATGAAAAATAACAGCCTTAACTTACACAACCAGTTAGGCAATCTCATGAAAGAAAAAAAGAATGTATCATTTACAACAGTAACTGAAAAGATAAAATACTTGGGAATAAACCTAATAAAATGTTCAAAACCTATGTGAAGGAAACTATAAATATTCTGACACAAAAACTGACTTGAACAAATATCTTTCTATTTGTTCAAATATCAAATATCTTTCTGTTCTCAGGATGTGTCAATATTACTCATACATCAGTTCTTCTTTAAGATGATTTATGAATAAAGTACAATCCCAACTTAAAAAGTGCCAAAGACCTTTTTCTCAGAACTATTTCAGAATAGCTAGGAAATTTCTAAAAAGTAAGAGCTATTGGGGAGTGGGGTGGATAAGCCCTACACGATACAATTAAAAGTGTAGTACTAGTACATGAGTAGACAGAAAGACTAATTGAATAAAATAGAAAATTCAGGCTTATGTGGACATTTAATATATGATAAAAGTGGTATCTCAAACTGCTGAGGCAAAGATGGACTGTTTAACAAATCATGTTTGGGAAAATTAGAAACTCATTTCCTATACCATATGTAAGTATAAACTCCAAGTGGATTGGAGATCTAGCAGAAGGCATAAAACAATTCCTATTACCCTGCATGTTTGTAAAGGCTCTCTCGTGATGACTCAAAGTCCAGATGCAATAAAGGAATGAGTTTTGCCAAAAAAATAAAAATTTTTACATGAGGGGGAAAGAAAACCCAAAGCACATACGAATAGACACATAAATTCGAAGAAGCTGTTGCAAGAAATATGCCATATAAAGGGCCAATATCCCTAACTATTTTAAATTGAGTTTAAAAAGACTAAAAAAATCAAATAAAACATGTGCCAAAGGTAAAAAATCCACAGAAAAGACATAAAAATCTCCCTAACTTACAATAAGTAATGTAAATGTAAATTAAAAGTATACTGACATACAATTTCTCACTCATTATGTCGGCAAAAGTTCAGGTAAATTGGCATTTTCATAAATTGCTGGTGGGCATGCAAAATGATATAATCTCTATGGAAGAAAATTTGCCAATATGCAGTACATATGGAATTACCTTCTGATCCAGCAATCCCACTTTTGGGAACTTACTCTAAAGATAGTCCTCTTAGGGGCTCCTGGGTAGCTCAGTTAGTTAAGCGTCTGACTTCAACTCAGGTCACGATCTCACGGTTTATGAGTTTGAGCCCCACATCGGGCTCTGTGATGACAGCTCAGAGCCTGGAGCCTGCTTTGGATTCTGTGTCTCCCTCTCTCTCTGCCCCTCCCCCACTCATGTCTGTCTGTCTCTCTCTCAAAAACAAATAAACGTTAAAAAAAAAAAAACAAATAAAGATAGTCCTCTTAAAATATAAAAACACAGGGTTAGTATTGCAGCATTATTTGTAGTTACAAAATGTTGGATACTACCTAAATATCCAAGCATCAGATTTTAAGTGAATAACTGTAGTATAATTACACAATGGAGTATTGCAGCTGTAAAAAAAAAAAAAAAAAAAAAAAAGGAATGAAGATGATCTCTATAAATTGATGCAAAGTGATCTCCAGAAGATATTATTAACTGAAAAAAAGCAAAATGCAGAACAGCATATATGGTACGTTCACTTTGGAGTAAGAAAGAAAATACACATTTATCCACTTATTTTTACAAAAAGAAACACAGGAAGGATGTATCAAAAAACAATAAAATTGTATACATATAAAGGGTAGTAGGAAGAAGAGTTCAAGATAAGAGAGTGAGATTTCTCTGATTACACTGTTTTGTATGTTAGATTTTTGGAAGCATATTATGCTACGTATTCTAAAAGTAAAATGAAATGATCAATAATGGAAGAAAAAACAAACTAAAACTAGAAATAGAAGCAAGTGAATTCAAGTGTATTTCAAATGACTATCCACTGAAGTAGGATTGTATAAGGTCAGAGAACTAATCCAAATTATTTTTGCATGTAGTATTTTTACTTTCAACTCTCAATCTAGGGTAGAACTACAAACAAGTCTTGAACCCCATTTAGTAGGTTTGCTTTTGTAATCATATGAATGTAACAATTCTTTAAAAAATTTTTTTTAATGTTTATTTATTTTTGAGAGAGAGCACGAGCAGGGGAAGGGCAGAGAGAGAGGGAGACACAGAATTGGAAACAGACTCCAGTCTCTGAGCTGTCTGCACAGAGCCTGATGTGGGGCTCGCACCCATGAGCTGTGAGATCATGACCTGAGCCGAAGTCGGACACTCCACTGACTGAGCCACCCAGGTGCCCCTGAATGTAACCATTCTTAAACTATTTTATGTGCAATATAGGATGAGGGTAATAAGTAAATGTGTTGTTGTTGTTAGAAAACAAGTATCTCACTGTTAACAAAGGCAGACACAAATATGAAATGGGGAAGGCAACAAGGAATACTGAGGAATTGGATTGGATTGTAAGTATCAATATTCATGATTTCTTAAGTGAAAAAAAAATATATATATCTATTCCCTTCTTCCTCACTTCTGCCTACTGAGAGGGCCTAAAAGCAGTAATACCCCAGTATCAATAAGCACACTTAGTTCTAAGGTCTTAGCTTCTAAATGCCATTTTCCAGTAAAAAAAACACAAAAGAAAAGAAAACAGGGCTTTGGAGAATTTGTTGACTCCAGGGTAGGAGTAACAAATGTACAAAACAAGCCTGGAAAATTATTGTGCCACAAAAGTAAGGAAGTGCTCAACATGCAGGTCAAAGGGAGCCAGGTGAAGCTAGCCAAATCTGATGCTTTGAGCATCAAAATAAATAAGGATGGGGAAGAAGAGAACAATATCCCATGCAGAAGTTCAAATAAAATATGTAAATACACTAATGGAAAGGGAGGTTAACAACCAGAAATGTGCATTGTGCACAGTGACTTCCAAGGAGTACAGTATGGAAAGGGGGAAAAAGAGTAATTTTACTGTAGAGAGATGTGTAAATGCTGCTTTAGGCAGTGATCAAGTTTAACATACATGATCATAAATTATGTTTGTAGTATTACCCCTGTTATGATGTGATGAAAGTAACACTTTACCTCAAAACCCCATGCCCTAGTCTAATCATGAGAAAACATCAGATAAATTCCAGCAGAAGGGCATCCTACAAGATACCTGACCAGTTTTCCTCAAAATTGTCAAGGTCACCAAAAACAAATAGAGTCTGAGAAACTGACACACAGCCAAGAGGAGCCTAAGGAGAAATGCCAACTGCGCGTAATGTGGTGTCTTGGAAGGGATTGTGGAAAGGAAAGGGAATTAGGTAAAAAATAAAGAAATCTAAATAAGTATGGACTGTAATTAATGTTAATGCATCAATATTGATTCACTAATTATAACAATGTATAATAGTAATATAAGAGGTTAATAATAGTGGAAACTGTGTGTGTGTGTGTGTGTGTGTGTGTGTGTGGTTGGGAGGGTACAGTACATGGGAACTTTGTACTATATATACTCAGTTTTTCTAAGAATCCAGAACTGTCCTAAAAATTATCTAATATAACTAACCGGCTAATTAAATAAGTAAAAGACAGCAATGCATTATTACTTCTTGAACAAAAAGGAATGCATAAATTCATGCTGATAGTAAACAAGGAGAGCTCTTCTTTATAAAAAGCAGAATCACCTGTAGTAAAGGTGGAGCGCTTGAAAGAGTTAGGGTTAAAAAAATCTACAGTTTGTAACCGTCATTGTAAAGATCAGTTGCAGCAAGGATCTTCAGTGGAGGCTGAACCATAGGTAGAGTTTGATTCGGAGAAAGATATTTGCTTGATGTCAAAGTATCTCTTCATAGACTGCCTATTAGTTGCAAGTGGTAAGATACACAGTGGAGAACCTGGAAAACACCTTGATAGGGTGATAAAGACTAATGTCAACTTATGGTGGACAGACATCCTGAATCTCCATACACAATATCCTGAGACAGACACAACTTCACTTAAGTGGTTGTTTTCGCAGAGAATGCATAACTTGAATCTAATTACGAGGAAACATCGAAGGTCGACGTAGGAATTTGTATTTGAGGAAGATTGTTTATAAGGGGATGGATTGCTTTGGTCATAAGCATAAGCCCTCTTGATCATAAAGCTGTTAAATAATTAAATGCAAATATTTCAGACTATGATCTTAACTATTATATTTATAAATTAAAACATTATCACAACAGAAAGATTTATTTAAACACGAAGACATTAGCAGTTTCACTTGTAGTGGCAGGAAAGAATACAGGGAAGGGAGCGGGCCCAGAGAGTGTGGGGTGGTAGCGGAAAGAGAGAAAGGGCTCTTGGCTGAGGATTCCCAAATTGTTCATTTAAAAAATAATTATTTCTAATTTAACAGACACACAGCACTTACTTTTCAACAGGTGCTGTTCTAAGCGCTTGTTACAAATTGATTTTTAACGGGCAATTCAGTAATTGGCCTTTGTTTCTCAAAACACAACATAGTTACGATACTAAATAATATTCTCTTACGCACTTAAGGCTCTGCTGCAGTGATTGTCTCCATGGATAGAAGAACGTGAACTTAAAATTACTGAGTGGTTTTTCGTAGAAATGCCGGCAACCCTACTTGGCGGTAACAAAGGTTGAGGCCCCTTTGAAAAGCCTGATTGATGGTCTCCTAGAAAGTCTCAAAAGCATCACGCTGAGAGCGGCTTATGTATCTGGGATGCCAGGCACTCACGTTCTCTTTTCCTTTACGGATGAATCCCAGAGTAGGGTCACTGCCGTTTTCAGCCCAAGTTGACAGTTCTAAACCACTTCCCCGCTCCAGATCTGGGAACTAGTTAGGGTTTACGTTTGTCACAGCTAGTGAGTCTCTCACGCAATGAATTCTGGGAGACCAAGTCTCCGAACGCTGAGTTTACCAGGCCCGGTGCGAACGCTGGACTTCAGTTCCCACAATGCCGAGCGCAAATCCGTAATTCCTGCCGGGGTAACAGCGCGGTGGCCGCCATCTTGCGTACGGCGGTGCAGCTTGCCCAGATGCTGAGGGCTTGGGGTTTAGTTCCTCTCTGCTTTGGGGCAGTGTTTGCGCGTTGCTTTTACCTTTTCAGATGTTCGTGTCTTTCTAGACGAGGATTTTATTGGGAGGTAAAAGTCAATGCAGAGCTGTAGTGTAAGGTGAGTAAACACCCCATTTTAAGTAAGGGTGGGGTAGTGACGGTGACGTTTGTCTTTTTTTTTTTTTTGGGGGGGCTCTCGTCTGCTCTTGGCTGGACCCTTTTGATTAGCCCGGAGTGGACCTTTGAGTCTCGGAGATCTCTTGAATTTCTGACAACCCGAACAGCCTCCATTGGGACAAAGACCCCGGCTGACGCACTTTTGCCCGGGCTGCCCTCTTTAGAGGTCAGGAGGCCATGGGACTCAGGTTGTGTATAGGCCACGCCGTGTTAATGCAACCGCTTATTGTTCTTTGAGACTTTTATGATATTTCGAAGGAGGAAATGAGAAGCGGAGAGATGGCCGGAGGCGCTTGGAAGGGGGGCCGTTTCCAAAAGGACGGCGTTCTTTGCAGTTGTATCATCTTCAGTCTCTGTAGGCCTACCTGTATCGTTTAGTTCGTCTTTTTTGCCCCTTTTCCTCTGTTAGAGGAACACCAGAGAGAGGGCAGAATGAAGAAGTATGTAAAACGGGCTTTGGGATCGCACTTTTGAGGGTCCCTAAGTAATTTCAGGGGAAGCAGAATTTATCTTTGAGATTGACCAAGCATGTGGAAAAGATCAGCGCTTTGATTTGGGGAGTTGCCAGATTTCTAAACGTAATGTGACATGTTTGAGTCACTCTTAGGGTCTGTAAAGTCTGGCATTTCAGGTAACCTAACATTTGATTGCTAAGGAGACGCTGAGGTTTGAGAGCTGGATCCATTTACTCCCAAAGATGTAGTGATTTTAAACAGTAAGGGTTTAAAATGCCATTTATCACACCATTTTGGAAATGTGTCAGTTTGGCTGGCAGATTTACTCTCCATCTTAGTACACAATTGTGTATATCATCAAATGTATATTACTGATTTAATTTTCCAAACTTAAGTTCTTTAAGTTCAGAAATGCATCATTTCCATTAAAGGTGAGATATACCTTTTTTAAAAAAAAAGATAACTTACCTTCAGTGAGACTCACCCCCGCCCCCAAATCATTATAACAATACTTAAATAGTAAGTGGTTTTAAAATTACAACTTTGTAAGTTTTGTATTTTGGGAAAATGTTACCATTAATTGTGTATATCACACATTCAAATGTCTTTTCTGTTTTCATGTTTCTGAAAAACTTTTGTTTAGATTTTTAAAACATTAGCTAATAATTATGTGATTTATTTGTTCCCCAGATGCCTTATGGTGAAATTGAAGCAAAATCCTTGGATCATGGTGAAGAACTAACAAGTGAACCATGCTTTAAAAAATTGAAGTCAACTGAAGAGGCTTATGTTTTTTCCCACCATGGTAGTGCTGATTTTCACAGAATCCAAGAGAAAACTGGGAATGATTGGGTTCCTGTGACCGTTGTTGATGTCAGAGGACATAGTTACCCCCAGGAGGACAAAATCAAAGCTACAGACTCGCCGAAACCTGTGCGTGATGAGGTGCCTGGTAATAATAGACCAGATGTTATCGAATCCATTGATGCACAGATTTTACAGGATACAGGTCCTCCATTGGTATCCACAGATGATGAGATATATAGCACAAGTAAAGCATTTATAGGACCCATTTACAAACCGCCTGAGAAGAGGAAATGTAATGAAGGGAGGAATCAGTCAGGCACTATCAATGGTATAGCTGACAAAGGACGAGACACGAAACAGAAATTTAACTCCAAAGAATCAGAGCTTGACAATGAATTATTCCAGTTTTACAAAGAAATTGAAGAGCTTGAAAATGAAAAAGATGATTTGGAAGGAAGTTGTAAAGAACCTGAACCCTCTGAGGAACAAGTTACTGCCTGTCATCAGGGCCATAATAATGATCTGTTAAAATCTGAAGAAGGAAAGAAAAGAGATATTAGTAATGTTCTTCAGTCACATTGTGGTTATCCACAGCACGTGGGAAATGAGCCAGGCAAATATCCTTGTAATGGACAAGTAATACCTGCATTTTGTGATGATTCGTTTACTTCCTTCAGGCCTGAATGGCAGTCAGTACATTCTTTTATAGTACCCCCCAGTCCTCCTCTTCCCAGTTTTAACTATCATTTAAATATTCAAAGATTCGATACTCCACCAAATCCACCATCAAATATTTTCCATGCCCAAGATGGTTCTCAGTTTCAAAATGGGTATTATGTAAATGGTTGTCACGTTAACTGGAACTGTTTGACTTTTGATCAGAACAATGACTATATTGATTGTAGTGAGAACACCAGTAGAGATCATTCCTCTACAAATGGCTACAGTGTGCAAGATGGATATGTGAGTAATGGTTTCTATGAAACCAGTGAAGGATGTTGGAAAGATACTTCTGTGGACAACCATAATGGAACACACAGGCTTATGAACCAGCAGTTTCAAGAGGAAAAGTTAAATAAATTGCAGAAACTACTTATTCTTTTAAGAGGGTTGCCTGGTTCTGGGAAAACAACGTTGTCTCGGTGAGTAAAGGATACCAAGTAAATACTTGGTAATTCATTACTTAAAAATCATAGATGATAGTTGTAATCAACGACAAATGCTTTCATGTTTCTAGCAGAAAAATTTTAATTTGTTACACTTGAGAATGGTATCTGATGGTGTAAATATTTAAAAGGATGTTTCCTGATGGAGTAAAGGAGAATTGGCATGTAAAGATTCTGCTGAGGGTTTTAAAAATAGATACACCATTGTATAATTATGACAGTGATGTAAGTAAATGCTATTTGAGAACTGTATTAGCCTTCCCTTTTTAAGTCAGATTCAAGAAGAGCTGGACTCAGGCTTTTGATTTCGTTTTTTCAAACTTTATGGCCTTGGACAAGTTTTGCTATTTGTTAATAGAATGAGTAATATTTATTTTCCTGAAATAATTGTGAGAAGTAAATGAGATAACCCAAGGAAAGAAGGTGTGGGTGTGTTTTAAGCCCTGTGCTGCGTTCATATCGTTGATTGACAGAGGGAACCTTTTGATTTCTTTACGTTTAAGGAGTCTGAGGTGAGCAGTACCTGAGTAAAATGGAGTTACAGCTGGTGATATATTATTGAATGACAAAATGTTTCAAATTCTTGTTTTTGTTTACATTTTTAAAAAAAGAATATTGATGCATTTGATTTCATTTGTGAAATGAAAGCAGTTGTGAAAAATAACACAAAGAAAAACAATACAAATTCTTTGCAGTTTTTGTAGGATGATTCAAGATGTATGCTAGGTAAGGAGAAAAAGAAAACTTGATGTCTTGGTGGTGAGGATAAAGAAGTCCAAAGAACCATTATATAAATGTTTTGTATTTTCTTGCAAAACAGTCTGAATAGAAGTTTCTTCAGAAGCAAGAAATTAAAGATTAAACTTATGGTACAGACATTTATTTTAAGCTAGATCGTAAGCTGTGATCTTTGTAAATGAATTTAAATTTAGGTCTTTGCATTTTGATTCCTTTTATTTTATTTATTTTTTTTTTTTTAATTTTCTTTTCAACGTTTATTTATTTTTGGGACAGAGAGAGACAGAGCATGAACGGGGGGAGGGGCAGAGAGAGAGGGAGACACAGAATCGGAAACAGGCTCCAGGCTCTGAGCCATCAGCCCAGAGCCTGACGCGGGGCTCGAACTCACGGGCCGCGAGATCGTGACCTGGCTGAAGTCGGATGCTTAACCGACTGCGCCACCCAGGCGCCCCGATTCCTTTTATTTTAATGAAGATTTTGTAGAGAAGATGAGATTTCAACTCTTTAGAAAGTACAGAAATTAAGGGTGAAGTCTCACTAACATGGGCAGTCTCCTAGATTTAGAATATAAGACCAGAAGAAAGAAACAGTTGCAATTTGGAAATCGTATGAAGGGATCTCCTAGCTAGGGTCACCTGACTATGCATGGGTATAGAATAAATTTAAGAAGGAAAGATGAGATTTGAGATAACATTGGAGTATGTTGAAACCGAAGGTGAATAAGGTATGTGATAGAATTTCAAGGAGGAATAATTATAGTTGGAAATGATAGAGGTGATTATACATAATATGCATATTTGAGGAATTAGGTGTATAGGAGTGGATGTTATAGTAGTAACTACCATTTGTGTCATGATTTACAATTTACAGAGTACTTTCACATATAAAAATCTTGTAAGATTGGTTGTGTTATTTTCATTTCATAGAAGGAGCAGAGGCTTAAGAGAATAGGTTCAGGTTAAAGGGCTTGGGAGAAGTTACAAAACCTGGGACAAGATCAAACTATGGATATAAATGATAGCGTGTTTCTTCTCTGCTCCTTCACTTTAATATCTATTGCATGCAGGGCCCGATACCTGACTCCTGACTTTAAAAAGAAGCAAACGTATCTGTTTAGGTCACCACCTTTTTTTTTTTTTTTTTTTTTAATAAATGTGTGTTTATTTACTTATTTTCTTTTAATTTTTTAAATTTAATGTTTTTATTTATTTTGAGAGAGAGAGAGCACAAGCAGGGGAGGGGCAAAGAGAGAGAGGGAGACACAGAATCTGAAGCAGGCTCGGGGCTCTGAGCTGTCAGCACCGAGCCCGATGCGGGGGTTTGAACTCACAAACTGCGAGATCATGACCTGAGCTGAATGGGACACTTAACCGACTGAGACACCCAGGAGCCCCTAGGTCACCACTTTTTTTTTTTTTAATGTTTTTATTTATTTTTGAGAGAGAGACAGAGTGAGTGGGAGAGGGGCAGAGAGAAAAGGGGACAGAGTATCCAAAGCGGGCTCTGTGCTGACAGCAGAGAGCCCAGTGCGGGACTTGAACTCATGCACTGAACCACAAGATAATGACCAGAGCTGAAGTCAGATGCTTAATCGACTGAGCCACCTAGGTGCCCCCAAAATGGGCTTTGAAGAAGGAAAGGTATTCAAGTCCCCTTCTTCCTTCATTTAGTCCTTGCCCACCTCTCCCATCTTCATGTCCTTCTGTAGTTGGATTAGCACCTGCCCTCTATAGCAGGAGACAGAATACCTGTCCGTTCATTGTTGTATTTATTCAAAGGTTCTTTTGAATGCCTCTGCCTTTTGAGGTTTTGGTTTGTCATCTCAGCCCTCAGTTATCCTTCTGAACTCATGTAGTATTTCTTTACCAAATTTTTTACCTAATTGTTTACCCCACAACTTTGCTAACAGATTTTAATGAAATAAGTTTTAGATTAAGTTCTAACACAATTACAGAGTTTAAATATTTATGAATAAGCTAGTGCAAAACAGTTCATACCCCTTTGTAGGTATGTGGAAGTGCTAGCTCTTTGTTCTTTTAGGAAAACTTCGGTGCTTTGATTAAAGGTTTATTTCAGGCAGAATTCAACAATTTCTAGATGTGGAATTTGTTACCATTGTAATTGCCATCAGCCAAACAGAATCCTCTGGAGTCAGGGATTGGACACAGGACCATTTAGGGATCAAGCTTTGGGTGTCATTCCTAGGGGTGTGGACTACAGACCCTGTTCATACAAGGGAGGAAAGTTGAACCTAAGATATTTTAGGTAATATGCATTTCTTCTACTCTACTCGTTTCACTAATGACAGCGAATGTATTTTAAGAAATGGGCAACTAATTTCATTATTATATTAGCAAAATGTTGGGAGTTGATAAGAGATAAATACTGAAGCACTTTCAGAGAGGAGGAAAGATGTTACACTGCTGGTTTTGAAGATGGAAGAAGGGACCATATGGAGGTGGCCTTTAGAAGCTGGAAAATTTGGCGAGGATACAGATTCTCCTAAGGAGTCTCCAGGAGGAATGCCAGCCTACCCACATTTTGATTTTAGCACAGTGGAGCTGAATTCAGGCTTTTGACCTTCAGAACTATAATATAATACATGCTGTTTTAAGCCACCACGTTTGTGGTAATTTGTTATAGCAGCCATAAGGAATTGTAGGGTTTTTTTTTTAAGTTTTTTTATTTATTTTGAGAGAGAGAGAGTGTGGGTGAGTGGGGGAATGGCAGAGAGAGAGAGAGAGAGAGAGAGAGAGAGAGAGAGAGAGAGAGAAAATGAATCCCTAGTAGGCTCCCTGCTGTCAGCATGGAGCCCAATGCAGGACTCAATCCTATGGGAACTGTGAGATGATTACCTGAGATGAAATCAAGAGTCTGACGCTTAAGCTTAACCAGGTGAGCCACCCAGGTGCCCCAAGAAATTGCAGTTTAAAGAGAAATGGGAAGAGATTTTTTTTTTTTCTTCCTCCCTGCTTTTGGAGGAGATCTCAGTTTAAATTCCAGAGGAAAAGATTGACCTTTCCTTATGTAGGTATCTGTTTTTTTAAAAGAAAAAAAATTTTTTTGATGTTTATTTTTGGGAGAGAGAGAGAGAGAGAGAGAGAGAGAGAGCGTGAGCAGGGCAGAGAGAGGAGACACAGAATCCGAAGCAGGCTCCAGGCTCTGAGCTGTCAGCACAGAGCCCCATGCGGGGCTTGAACTCACAAACCGTGAGATCATGACCTGAGCGGAAGTCGGACGCCTAACCAACTGAGCTACCCAGGTGCCCCTAGTAGATACCTATTCTTAATTGAAAGAGTATTTAGAGAGTGAAGTGCCCCAGTGAAGTGGTTTGGGGATAAGGGTATGCGGGGCCACTCAGTAAATAAGGAGATAAAGCATTCATGAAATGTCAGTTCTACTCAGATTTTTTTTGGAAAAATCACTTCTGGTCGTAAATGCACATGGATTATTAGAGAAAATAATGTATAGTTACTAGAAAATTTAAAAATAAATTATGAAAATTAACTCATAATAGGCCCTTAGGATTCCCAAAACAGTTAAGGAACGGGATTCACTTGTTCCTTACTTAAGTGAAGAATTATAAGCACAGACTGCTAGTTATCTGTGGCTGTATAACAAATTACCTTATTAAAAACAGTTAAAGCAACAAACATTTATCATCTCACAGTTTCTGAAGGACAGGAGTCTGGGTGCAGTTATCTGGGTCCAAGGTCTTTAACAATGCTATTGATTAAAGTGTTGGCTAGGGTTCTGTTCTGATCTGAAGGTTGGGGTGGATCTGCTTGGAAGATCTCTACTGAGGTTGTTGACAAGGCTTAGTTCCTTGTGAGCTGTTGGGTTGAAGGCTTCATTTAGTTGCTGGCTATAGGCTGGAGACCTCCCTTGGTTCTTTTCTCCTTGGGATGCTCTCCATTCACAGCTCTGATAAGAGAAGGGGAGCCAGCTTTGAGCCTAAAACATAAGTCACTTTTTTCTATAACCTAATCTCAGAAGGGACATTACATCAACCTTGCCATATTGTGTTAGAAGCTGTAGTCACTGACTCCCACCCACACTAGAGGGGAAGGGATTATAGGAGGGGGTGAATACCAGGAAGCAGGCCTCATTGTAAGCCATTGGTTTTGTCTCTGACACTGCTATGTAACTCCAGGAGCCTGATTTCTGAAGTCATTTTTTTTTCTGGATTTATTTAATATCAAATTGGCAAAGTTGTCAGGAGAGTTAAATGGGATCATAGATATACATAAAATGCTTGTCATATAGTAAGTTTTCAAAAAGATAGATATTCTGGAAAATACAAATCAAGTAGCCAGTGAGTTCATACCTGATTTTTTTTATTAGATACTTGATTTTTCAGAGTTCTAAGTTTTGACATTTGGAGGATTCATTTTAACACCTTACTTAATGTGTGAAAGTTCTTTTTTTTATTTTTTAAAAAAAAAATTTTTTTTTTCAACGTTTATTTATTTTTGGGACAGAGAGAGACAGAGCATGAACGGGGGAGGGGCAGAGAGAGAGGGAGACACAGAATCAGAAACAGGCTCCAGGCTCTGAGCCATCAGCCCAGAGCCTGACGCGGGGCTTGAACTCCCGGACCGCGAGATCGTGACCTGGCTGAAGTCGGACGCTCAACCGACTGCGCCACCCAGGCGCCCCAATGTGTGAAAGTTCTAATAGAATCTGACCATAAGAATTTTGAAAATGTTAATATTTTTAAGTAACTTATTTTTGGTTCAGCTGGTTGATATGGCATCACATATATCCAAATAGATTATAGGTAATTTTTTATATAAATCCCCAAAATAAAGCTTCACAGTTTGAGGTAATTCAGGGAATTTTTAAAAGCTGCATGAACAGTCTGGGAGGAAAAAGTCTCTCTCCAAGCTAAAATAATTTGCTGTAATTATGATTTATATATTTAAGATGTTCTTCATAGATGTTTATTCATGTTTGATGTTTACTTGGTTTAATGGTATAAGTTGATTTGCTATCTCCTCCCCTCTCTACACCCCGCCACCTACCTTTTTTTGTGGTTACAACATTTCTTGGGTACAAAAGCTATTATACGTTTGTAGTATGGTATTATTAGTATCTGAAAAATCCGTGCTCATGAAAGAATGGAAAAAAATGAAACAGGATGTCTAAGAAAGGTGGTATCATTTTTCTGATACTGTTGAAAATAATTTGATATGATGAGGCTGATTATGGTCAAAATTATTTTTAGATCATTGAGCTTTGGTTTGGAATGCTAATATTGTAGCATTTTTATATTCTGGGTTGTCTGTATAAACAAATAAGATGCCAATTATGTTAGATAGTATATTTTGGAAAAATCATGGTGACTTAAAAAAGAAATCCAACTCCAGCCTCGCAAATAACTAACCATTTAATTTCATTTGCTTTGTTTGAAGTAATTCGAACTATAATTTCTATAATTGGAAATGCGTGTTTAAATTTTTTTTATATCTGCACTTTTATTTTTATTATAAAATGTACAAGCATACCTTGTTTTATTGTGCTTCATAGATACTGCACTTTTTACAAATTAAAGGTTTGCAGTAACCCTGTGTCAAGAAAGTCTTTTGCTCCATTCTTCCAAAAGCATTTGTTCACTGAATGTCCTTATGTCACTTAGCAATTCTAAGACTATTTCAAACTTTTTTATTTTTAGTATATTTGTTATGGTAATCTGTGATTAGTCATCTTTGATATTACTATTAAAAAATTTTGTTTATGTTTAATTTTGGAGGAGAGAGACACAGAGTGTGAGTGGGGGAGGTGCAGAGTGAGAGAGGGAGAGACAGACTCGGAAGCAGGCTCCAGGCTCTGAGCTGTCAGCACAAAACCAGATGCAGGGCTCTGGCTCATGAACTGTGACATCATGACCTGAGCCGAAGTCAGATGCTTAATTGACTGAGCCACCCAGGCAACTCATATGTTACTATTATAATTGTTTTGGGGTGCCACGAACTGTGCCCATATAAGATAGGAAACTTAATTGATAAACATTGTATTCTGACTGCTCCACCAGCCTGCTGTTCCCCCATCTCTCTCCCTATTTTCAGGCCTACTTATTCCCTGAGACACAACAATATTGAAATTAGGCCAGTGAGTTACCCTACAGTGGTCTCTAAGTGTTCTAAAAGGGAGAGTTGCACGTCTTACTTAAAATCATAAGCTGGAAGTGATTGTGCTTAGTGAGGAAGGCATGCCAAAAGTCAAGATGGGCCAAAAGCCAGGCCTCTTGAGCCAAACAGGCAGCCAAATTGTGACTGCAAAGGAAAGGTTCTTGAAGGAAATTAAAAGTGCTACTCCACTGAGCACACAAATGATGATAAAGCAAAATAGCCTTGCTAGTATGGAGAAAGTTGGAGTAGTATGGATAATAGATCCAACCAGCCACAACATTCTCTTAAGCCAAAACCTAATCCAGAGTCCTCACTCTGCAGTTCTGTGAAGGCTAAGAGAGGTGAGGAAGCTACACAAAAGTGTGAAGCTAGCAGAGGTTGTTTCATGCAGTTTAAGGAAAGAAGCTGTCTCCATAACATAAAAGTACAAGGTGAAGCGGAAGTGCTGGTGTAGAAGCTGCAGCAAGATGTAGCTAATTAATGAAAATCTAGCTAAGATAATTAATGAAGGTGGGTGGCTTCACTAAATGACAGATTTTCAGTGTAGACAAACATTCTTTTACTGGAATAAGTTGCCATCTAGGATTTTCATAGCTAGAGAGGAGAAGTCAGTGACTTAGCTTCAAAAGACAGGCCGACTCTTTCTTGTTAAGGGCTAACACAGCTGGTGACTGGGTTGAAGGCAGTAGTCATTCACTATTCTCGAAATCCTAGAGCCCTTAAAAATTATGCTAAATGCACTCTGCCTGGGCAGACAGCATGGATGACAGCATGTTTGTTTACAACATGGTTTACTGAATATTAGAAGCCCACTGTTGAGATCTATGGCTCAGAAAAAAAGATTCTTTTGAAATTATTACTGCTCACTGGCTGTATACCTGGTTACCCAAGAGCTTTGGTGGAGATGTAGAACAGGATTAATGTTGTTTTCATGCCTGCTACCACAACATTCATCCTTCAGCCCGTGAATCAAGGAGTAATTTTGACTTTCAAGTCTTATTATTAAGAAATACATCTTGTAGGGCTGTAGTTGCCAAAAATAGTGATTCTTTGATCAAAGTAAGTTGAAAGTAAATTGAAAACCTTCTGGAAAGGATTCACCATTCTAGATGCCCTTAAGAATATTCATGATTCATGGGGTCAAAATATCTATATGAAGAGGAATTTGGAAGTCGATTCCAACCCTCACGGATAACTTTGATGGATTTAAGACTTCAGTGGAGAAGTCAACTGCGGATGTGGTAGAAAGAGCAAGAGAATTAGAATTAGAGGTGGAGCCTGAAGATGTAATTGAATTGCTGCAATCTCATGATAAAGCTTTAACAGATGAGGTGTTTCTTATTATGGACAGCAAAGAAAGTGGTTTGTTAAGATGAAGTCCATTAGCGAAGATGCTGTGAACATTGTTGAAATAACAACAAAAGATTTAGAATATTCCATAAACTTAATTGTTAAAGCAGTGGCAGGTTTTGAGTGGATTAAATCTGATTTTCACAGAAGTTCTGTTGTGAGTAAAATGCTATCAAACAGAGAAATTGTTTACAAAAGGAAGAGTCGATACAATACAAAATTGTCCAGTTTTAGAGAATTGCCACAGCCACTCAGCCTTCAGCCACTACCATCCTGATCAGTAGCAGCTATCAAGATTGAGGCAAGACCCTCCACCAGCAAAAAAGATTACAACTCACTGAAAGCTCAGATGATGGTTAGCATTTTTTAGCAATAAAATATTTTTGAATTAAGGTATATATATATATGTATATATATATATGTATTGTTTTTTTAGTAATAATTTTTATATGCCCTGGGAAACCAAAAAATTAATTTGACTCCCTTTATTGTGGTGTAGAACTGAACCTGCAATATCTCTGAGGTATGCCTATTTACAGGTTTACAATAAGCTGAGGAAAGGAGGGATAGGTTTGTCTTAATAGTTGGAGTCCTTCCTATTCCTTTGATTTGGAGGTATGTGTTCTTGAATCATCCCATGACAATACTCTTATTTTCAATCCCTTCCACCACTTTCCACTCTCTTCCCATCTAAGAAAATTATAAAATGATATCCACTTGCCTAATGGCTGAGAGGGAGGAGAGAAACAACCAACAAAAAAAACTTCTATTATTGTTGGATCCAAATTATATTCACTGTTTTTTTACCTTTTCTCAGCACCCCCTGCCCCAGTTTAATTCATGAGTCACTGGTTTGGGGAATTCTCTGACAATCTGAACACTAGTTAATCTCACTGTGCCTAAAAATTTAAGGTAGTATCATATTGTGAGAACAAAGTTTGATTATCATTGACTTATTTGAAGAGTGTGTTTTTTATTTAGTGCTTAGTAATTGACTTCATTTAGTAATTTAATCTCTTAGCAGATTTAAAGTTTGATTATACTTTGGAGGATTACATGTTATTTCACAACCTTAAGCCTCAAGCTATTTCTGACTTCCACTTTTAGGTCATATGTATTTGTGCCTTGTGGAAATGAGTTTATCAAAGCTATCTTAGGTCAAATAAAGTTTTCCCCAGATGAATTGCTTAGGCTTATTTGCCTTTTAGGTTACTTATTGCACTAAATTTAGGCAATTTTAGAAACTATAAATACAAGTTCACACTAAAGTTAAAACATGGATAATAGTTAACATAATTTGGGGATTGGTTGAAGAATGTTTTTAAAAGTGGTGATACAAATGCCACCTACAAACGTTACTGGTTGTAATTGTATAGATTTAAGTGTGAAGTGATGTTTGAAATCTGAAATCTGCTCCCGTGCTATTATGTTTGCTATATATTTACAGGTAAGTACCAGAGATTCATTCCTGTGTGGCTTATTTTTGATGGTTATAAATTTTATAAATGGCACCTTATGATTTCTTTTATTAACAGAATTCTGCTTGGTCAGAGTCGTGATGGCATTGTGTTCAGCACTGATGACTATTTTCACCATCAAGATGGGTACAGGTATAATGTTAATCAACTTGGTGATGCCCATGACTGGAACCAGAACAGAGGTTTGTTTTGGGCCACGTCTTTGGGATGGAATATTTGACTAGGAGAAGACTGAGTTTTTATTCTCAACTTGACTTTTACCAGCAGAATGACTTTGGCAAGCCATTAAATAGCTTTGAGACCCAATTTTTTCATCTGTTAGAGGCAATGATAGTTATATTTGCCTTACTTGATCAAGGTTGTTATGAAATTAGAGAATTTAGAAAGGTATATTTTGTAAACTGTAAATAGTGTACCAGTATAGGCTGGCAAAATAGAGATGCGGGTTATTTTGATAACCTTTATTTTATACCTAAGGAATAAATTTCAAAGAACTCTTGAAACTGTTGTATATTCCCAAAAAGTATTTTTCTATGAATAATGGCAATGTTAAGTCTTCATATAATACCTTTGAATATTAAAAGTTTTTCACATTGACATTATTCTGCAAAAAAAAATTACTTAATACATTTTTTAGAAGCACATCAGTCAGTTTTTTCTCTTTCTAGATTGGTGGTTCATAACATAGGCACACATATTTTTATTTGTAAAGTTTATCTTGAGAGAGAGAGGGAATGTGCGTGCACATGTGAGCTGGGGGAGAGGGTGGGCAGACGGAGAGGGAGAGAGAGAATCCCAAGCAGGCTTTGCACTGTCTGTACAGAGCTCGAAGAGGGGCTTGATCCCATGAACCTGAGCCAAAATCAAGAGTCAGAAGCTTAACTGACTGAGCCACCCAGGCACCCCTCCTGGGGACTTAAAAAAAAAAAAAACTTATGAGTTAATGTTAGCTCCACAGATTTGTGGTTTAGTTGGCCTGGAGTGGATCTGAGCACTGGTATCCAGATGCTAGATACCAGATAACTAGAAAGTTATCCAGATACTCTGATGTTGCAGTCAAGATTGAAAACTTTTGATCTAGAACTAGTAAGTGCTTACATTAATAAGGTAATTTCTTTTTAAAAAGATGAAGAATGCATTGATGATTCATTGTTTCTATTTTTATTTTTTTTAAGTTTATTTAGAGAGAGTGAGCAGGAGAGGGAGGGGGAGAGAAAGAGAGAGAAAATCCCAAGCAGGCTCCACACTGTCAACATGGAGCCTGATGCAAAGTTCTATCGCATGAACCATGAGTTCATGACCTGAGCCAAAATCAAGGGTCCGGCACTCAACTGGTTGAGCACCCAGGTGCCCCACAAATTGTTTTTTATTATGAAAAATTTAAACCTAGAGTAGAGAGATTACAATGAACACCATACATCCATCACTCAGAATTATTATTAGTTATTGAGATTTTGCCTTTATTGGCTTTATCCTTTTTGTTTTAACCCCCCCCCCACCAACTTTTATTTGCTAAGGTTTTTAAAGTACATTGCAGACATCATATTTTATGCACTTCAAATGAACTTTTTCTTAATGGCATCTTACTTAATTGCAATGCCATCATCACACTTAAAAAAAACAATTTCTTGACATCATGTAATACTCACCCTGTAATGAAATTTTCCTTGTTGTCGTAAGTATTTCTTTACGGTTGTTCTCTTTGAATCAGGGTACAAGCTAGTTCCTCGCAGTACATTTGGTTTTATGTTTCATTTAATTATGTTAATCTGTATCCTCTTTTATCCCTTCTTTTTGTCTTCATAACATTAATTTGTTGTAGAGCTTCGTTATTTGTCCTACAGAATGTCCCATATTTTGTAGTTGTCTGCTTCTTGTGGTAACTATTTAACCTGTTCTTTCTCCTGTATTTAAATAGAGGTTAGTTCTAGACAGGAGGATTTGTTAGGTTTATGTATGTATGTATGTATGTATGTATGTATGTGTGTATGTAACCATATGTCTAGTTGTCCCAATTTTAGTGATGCTAAGATTGATTAGTAGCTTCAAAGGGGCAGCCTACTCCATTATCAAGTTCTCCATCTATCTTATATCTAATGGTTTTATCCAATAGTGAATTGTTTCCTTACTGAAACATTTTCCTTAATGAAGCCAGTATACCTTTGGTGGACTGTGAAATTTGTGTGGAACATTTTTTTCTCTTTGCAGTACTGGTCTAGAATATTACATTAAAATGTTTATGTCATGTGAGTTATACTTGCTGAACAAAGAATAGTGCTTAGATAAAGTGCTGGTTTTATTATCAGTATAACATAAATGTTTTCAAGGTAATGATAACTAACAGTCATGACTTAACTTAGGACTAAATTTCTCTTTTTAACAGATGTTTATTGAATATTTTTTATTTTTTTAAGTTTATTTTGTGTGTGTGTGTGTGTGTGTGTGTGTGTGTGTGTGAGAGAGAGAGAGAGAGAGAGAGAGAAAGAAAGAGAAAGAGAGAGAATCACAAGCAGGCTCCAGGCACTTAGCAAGGAGTGAGAACACTGACTGAGAGCCTGGCCTGTGCATGCATGGGGAAGGGGCAGAGAGAGAGCGACAGAGACAGAGAATCTGAAGCAGGCTGTGCACAGAGAGCCTGATGCAGGGCTCATGCGGGGCTCATGAGATCATGGCCTGAGCTGAAGGCTTAACTGACTGAGCCACCCAGGCACCCCTATTGAATACTTTTTTTTTTTTTAATGTTTATTTATTTTGAGAGAGAAAGAGAGGTGGGAGGGGCAGAGAGAGAGGGAGAGAGAATCCCAAGCAGGCTCTATGCAGTAGCACTGTAGCACAGAGCCCAGTGTGGGGCCCAAGTCCACGAACCATGAAATCATGACCTGAGCTGAAGTCAAGAGTCAGACCCTTAACCGACTGAGCCACCCAGGCACCCCCTATTGAATACTTTTAAATGCCAGGTACCATTCTGGGAATATCTGTCTGCTTCATGTGTGTGTTATTAGAAGACTCTAAATTCATGTTAGATTTTCTGTAAATTAAAAACCTCTCCAAGGTGTCATTACTGTTTCTTAAAATATGGTGACTCTCGTTATTTGGGTATTCAAACATTGTTTACTTAGGAACTGTTTTTTCCTGGAGTGTACTGAAATGTGGTATTACATGATGCCTTTTCATTGAAAGAGGATAATCTTCCCCTTCTTGAAATCAGAGATTTAATTTGGTTATTAAGCTCCTCTTCTGGAATGTAACTCCTTGGAGGTGATAGCCTAACTATTAGACATTTAAGATAATTAGTTTAGTAAGTTTTTTTTTTTTTTTTAATGAAAGATTTGATCACTGTTTATGATTCGGGATAGAGCAATGGGAGATGATAGCATTTTGGTAGGCTATTTATGACCCAAATTCAAAATTTCTTTTGTTAGAGACATCTTCTTCCAAATATGTATTCCATGACAGTCATTACTACTTAACCTTTGGAATTGTTTGTCCTTAGACATCTGTATAAATGTTTTCATCATGTAGAACTTAATGTTTTGAATTCTAAGCACCAACAAAACTTCCATAGCATTGCCTTTTGCCTCAGCCTTTTAAATTTTATTGTAGGTTCTTAATTACATTTCTTGTCTGTTTACACTTGGGGTATGCACACTCTTGTCATTAACTGTGGCTGTGATTCTTACCTCATGGGGAAGAGATGGCAAAGGGATAGGGAGATGTAGTTTAGAAAAGTTCCATGTGATCTCAGCTCCTAATTCGAGAATTCTAGTCCTAAGAAATATTTACAAAGTCAGTTAACTGGTATTTAGCTACTTGGTATGTAAAGTTTTGCTGGCAAGTAATAATATATCCATAGCATTCTTTAAAAAAACAAAACAAAACCCTAAGTTTCTTATTTCAAAGGCATTATTTATAATTATAGACATTGGGAAATATAGATAAAGATAAGCATAGATTGCTTATATTCCTGTTACCCTCAGATGCCCACTTCTGATATTTAGTAACTCTCCCTGGATCTCTGTATTTTGAC